GCTCCCCCCTGGCGCGCGGTGCTGCCGGCTCCCAGCCAGCCTGCGCGGGCTGGCGTTTCTCCTGCGCGGGCAGGGACCCACCGCCGGGCTTGCGCACCCCTCGCCTCGGGGCTCGGTGGGGGAGAAGAGGAGGCGCCCACGCGGCCTGCAAGAGGGAGGGAGCTCTCCCCTTTCCAGAGCGCGACGGGACGTCTCGCCCGCTGCCTGCCTTCTCATGCCAGCCTGGGGTTTTTTTGCAGTGAAGGCGTAATGCAGACAGCTGAATACAGATTTCTGGTGGGGTTTGGCTAGATATGTCAGCAGCTGCTCCTCGAGCATATTAGTCACTAAAAACACTTTGTTCTGCCAGACTGGCGGTGGAGGGAACGATGATGCTAATTGACTTAAGGATGACATTTCGTGGCAGTTTGCATTACAGATTTGAGTCATATTTAAAAATTAAGACTTTCAAAAGAACGTACAGGCTGTATCGGAACGGAATTTCACTGTCTTTCACATTTTATTTAGGAAATAAAAAGAAGACAGCTAGCAGAAGCTGCTGAAAAGAGGCAGATGGAGGTAACGTCTGATCAAATGCCATTTATTATTCAAAATACATTTTGGTAACTGGTTTATGGGGAAAATAGGGCTTCTGTGGGAACACTGTGTATCATGCCTGGATGGTGCAAATTGTCGTTAAATATTTCCATAGTATTAATGTTTTACCTTTGCTCTTGATTGCGAGTCAGACTACATCCCAAAAGCAATCCGCATGTAATCTTAAAGGTCTTTTAAGCAAAACTGTAGGAAATAGGTTTCTGAGAAGTGCGAGAAAGGGGAACATTCCCCTCTACTTCTTGAGTTGCTAAAAAGCTTTTCCTGGGAGGAAAGAGAAATGAAGCAACTTGTCATGGATGGCTCTGAAGTTCTGTGGTAGCTGTTAAGCTGCTAAAGAAAAATGTAACTATCACTCTCTGTTACTTTTTCTTAAAAGAGCCAAAACATCTACCAGGGTTTTTCAGGACCATCTTTGAGAGCGTTTCAGCCTCTGAACGTTTTGCAATGGAGGTGCCTTGCAAGTAGCCTAATTCAGTTTCCCCCGCATGAGGGACAAGGGAGTAAATCAGATGTCCTTCCCTGCTTAGTGTTCTCCTGCTTAACCCCTCACTCTTCAGCCTGAAGTCGTGGGAGGTGTTCTTCCTTTTGGGGGGCTGTAGAGACAGCTCGGGTACCTAACTTGCTTGGAAGGCCAGTTCCCTAAAAGCTAGAAATTGTGGGGTCCGAGTAATTTCCTATTTGTGGGTAAGATTTGCCTTCGTAGCTTATTTGCTTCTTGAGAGTTGTGCTTGTCATCATGGCCTTGGATTTCAGGTGAGAGCATTGCTGTTTTCCCATGGTAGATTTGAACATGTTTTGCCTAGCTTATGCTGTAGTATCAGAACTCCAAACTTAGCTAAGAATTAGTTTTTAAAATATTTTCTTTTTCAGTTTACAGTGTAGTTCTGACACTCCTACCATCCAGTCGAGGTCCTTATTAGCAGGCAGTTGACAACAGGTTTCTCATCCGTGTCCTGCTGCTGTCCACACATCCTATGGAGTTTGAAGGGTAGACTGTCACACAGATTATTTCTCACAGACTGCAATTTAGAACTTGGATTTCCAACAGCCTAGGCTAGCACTACTAACATGACCTTTTTTTCTCCCCTGCGTGTAAAGTTCCCATCGATTTCTGTAGCTGCTATACAGAGCTTGTGACTTTCTCTGTCAGCTTATTGAGTGTTAGAACAGAAGCTGCCATTACGATTTCCACCATCTGTATCCTATCTCTAGGTAGTCTTTTGGTAAAAAGAGATGGAAGAAGTGAAAGGGTGATGGAACAGCTAAAGGTCCTGAAAATTCTGCCTGCCCGAGTCGTCTCTTCCCAGTTATTTCTCTTTGTAAGGGCAAGAATAGGCACTGACACCGGAAAAACCACAGACTAAAAAATTATGGGACTTCTGGGAAGGGAAGTTCTGGTTCTGCATCTTAGGATGCAAAGCACATACACGTAATTGCATTAAACAAGTTCACTTGGATGTAGTAACAATATGAAACAAAAGCGTCCTTGCATACCATGTGGGACCAAGAGCTCAGAACATGAAGAAGTGTCCCGAAAGGTCTGGGTTTATGGAGTCGTAGCATTACTTAATGTTTTGGTCTTTTCACGCAAACCGGAGTTCACAAAATGCTGTTTCAAGACTTGCAGTTTGGTCTGCCAAGACTTGCAGTTTGGTCTCTATGCAGAAAAATAGCTAAGCGGCCTTACCCAACTGTGTTTTCTCCCAGGCTTCCTCCCGAGGTATTAAGAACGCTTACTCTGTAGAGCAAAAGAAAAAGAAACAGGAAGAAATGGAAAAAAGAATTGCAGCTTCAGGTTCTGGGGGAGAAGGAGGACTGAGAGTAAGTTCAAAAAAGACACAAATGTGATGCAACTGTCCTTATGCTAGCCAAGAAAATCCTGTTTTGTTGTCATACTACAAGACTGAGTAACTTGAGGAAAAACCAAGAGGAAGAGAAATGGAATAGAAAAGGAAGCATGTGTCATGATCACACAGGTTTCTCAGTGAGACTTCATTTCTGGGACTGAAAGGCAGCAAGGATGACAGAGAGCTTGGAGTTTTTTTCCCCTCTCTTCTTCCCCAGTTTCTGCACCCACGATGCACCGGTTTTACAGCACTCTCAGGACTGGGGACCTCCTCGCTGCGTTGACCTGTACTCCATGTCCCTTTTCAGTACCAGTTGAAGTTCTCTCTTCCCTCTCAGAGTTCATAGAAAATGTTTGAACTAAGTAGGGTAATGGCTTTGGGCTTCATGTGTCTTATCAAAAAAACCATACCGTGTTGGCAGAGATACTGATCAACTTTACTACTGCTACCACTTTTCTAATGTAAACTTTGTCTCAGAAGGCCAGGCAGAGATGGAATTGAGAATTAGAATCTCTCCCAGGCAGTAGATGCATCTGGTTATTGAAACACAGGCTTTGTAAGCCTTCATCTCCTTCCCTCACTGCTGTGGGTGGCTCAGGGGACAGGAGTTGGTATAAGCTGCTGCTGCTGGGCTGCACGTTCCTTGCTTGCTGGATATAAAAGGTGTTATAATAGGGAGTTCATAGTCTTCACACAACCTTGTGGGGTGGGTTTAGGTTTTGGTGGTGGGGTGTGGTTTTGGTTTTTTTTTTCTTTCCCCTATCTTCATACAGACCTGTGGTGCTTTTTGTTTTTGTCTTTAGTGGCAGGTTGGATAAAGAGGTGTGACTTCTGAAGAGAAGATCCATGTTTACTGCCGTAACTTGCCAGTTTCTGCAGCTGAGTGGCACTTACTCATCATGTGGCTTTTGCTGTTTGCATACGAGGACTCAGCAGTACTTCGCCATTGTGGGAAGACAGATGTGGAAATGTACTAAGAAACTTAAGAACTAACTCTGAACACTAAGTTTTGGCCAAATTGTTTGTTTGTTTGTTTGTTTTATGTGCATGTTATTTTGCTTCCCTGTCAAGGGAGTGAGATGGGGTTTCTCACATGGAAGCGGCCTCCTTGCCTGTAGTCAGTCAGTCTGCGTATGCTGTCTGGTCAGTTGATGTATGTCTGTCTGTGTATGACTGGCTTAGGCACGGCTCAGGTTCCCACGTGTTGTTTTTGACGCTTGTTTCAAGCTCTACAATTAAACTTCGAAGTCCTCATGTAGAAAGTTGTTGGTAAACCTGTATATTGGAATATGTGGGTGACATCATTTCTCTTCAGTTTCCTAATGACTTCTGAACTGCTTAGGGATTTAGTGCCTTTTTCAAAGAAAGAAAGCAGATTCATGGCGAGTCCTTAAAAATGGAAGCATTTTGTGACACTAGTTAAAAAAAAAATAGAAACTTTATAAACCCTGTATCCTAATAGCAACAAAGCTCTTTTATTGTGAGTCTAATAAGTGTTCTCTTCACTTTCTGATGTGGATTTCTTTTAAGTCTGTAAGTGTTTATAATTAAGGCTGGGAGTTAAACATTAAATTAAAAATACTGTTATCAGTCGTTCTCCTTTATTACCACAAGAGGGCAATGCTGCACTTCTCAGGATTTTGAAAAACAAAAACCAAAAGCTTTGCTACGTCATTTGCGTGGCTCATTTCCTAAAGCTTCTCTGTACTATCTAGGTGGGTTTGTTACAGCGCATTAACATTTGCCAAATGCCCAAAGCTCTGTCACCTTTCTGCCGTATTCAGCAATGTCTGTAATCCCTTTCCCCAATGCAGAGCCACCTTTGATTATTTAGAGCCAGCTAAACTATGGCGTTATGACTCGACTTTCAACCTAGTAGCCTCCAGCCGCTGCTTTGATAGATGAGGGATGTTTGTTGCAGCACGATCAACACTGAGAATCTAGCTCTTGTTTTCCCCAGAGAGCATTATGCTTGGCCTCAGTATGTTGCTGTCCCCATTTCTGACCAAAAACACCACCAAAAAACCTCTATAGGCAAAACTAAGTATTTCTTCTTTTACCTCCCCCCGGTAGCGTCTCATGCTGTCTTAGGAGCACAGTCCTGACACAGTGAGTTTCCTGGCTTAGCCTTCAGAGTTGCCTTGAGAAGGGAGACTTCAATACCAATACAGTGGCATTTGAGCTCAAAGGCTGTCCCCTTGGCTGATAAATGCCTTCAGTTTCCTTTGATTGCTGCCAGTTGCTGTCTTCGGTGTATTAATTAGTCAGTGTGGTTTTTTAAGTCTAATGAAAATGCATTGAGATATAATAAAATATACTAAGCATTAGTTTGAAATGTGAATTTCAATCCAACATCTGTCCCGGGGGTGTCCCACGAAGACACTTAAGCAGCACTTAAGGCTTGGTCACGGGGTATTTCAAACTTAATACATTCGTTTCACCCTCCATATTGCTCCCCCAAAACCGCAATGGGGGGAGAAGAGCCATCAGTCTGTTTCCATTCAAGCCCCTGCCGTACGAAGGAGCTAGTGCACTGACCGTACAGGAGTCTGTTGGGTTAGTATCATGAAGACTTTTGTTCGAAGTGTAACCTAGCAAAACAAATCACAGTTCCTGGGTCACCGGCTGAGGTTTTGATGCTGTCAAAACGGGAGGAGCTCCCAGGGTGAAGCAGCCGCAGTGCTGTGCTGCGGTACCCTGCGCTGCCCGTCCTTGTCCGGTAGCCCAAGGCCGGCCTGTTCCCTTCTGCTCCACATGCCGTCACCAGCCAAGGGGCTCTACATTGGAGTACAAGATTACCCCTCTGTCCGAACACCCACACCGCTCCTCATCAGGCTGTTCGTCCTGCAAAGGCAGTTGGCTTGCTTGTGGCAAACTCTGCCTGGCAGCTTTTCTGGAAAGTGGGAGTAAACATCTGGACCGCCCCAGATCGAGCAGACCTTCTATTTGAGAGGTGATTCTTGCAATTCAGAATTACCATAGAAGAAAATACTGCTCCTCTCTCTCCCCACCCTCTCAGTAAAAGCCAGATATGTCTGTGCTTCTTAAGAGTCATCACTGTGAATGTCAAATTTATTCTTACAGCTAAGAAACACGTCAGAGGATTTGGGGGGTGCATAGTTCTACATTTCAAATCACTACTTGATAAACCTATTTTTTAAGAGGTTTCTATACCATACCCATCTAACTGTTCAGATGGCCAGCCTGAACTGAACCTGGGAAATGATTTGGGTAAATAAACCCACCTCTTGTTGGTTGAAGTTTTTTGGTAACATTAATTTCAGTTGAGAATGAAAGCAAACCCCATTGCAGTTCAGTAGTAAACAACCGATAGCTACCTGAAGCAAAGCACTAAATGCCATCAGAGCTGCTCCGTACCTGTAGAAACGACACCTCCCCTCTCTCTCTTACCACTTAGTGCTGCGCTCAGTAAATATGAAACAGAGTAGGAACTTTGTCCTCATTTCCCCCTATCCTAGACATTTACTTCACCTTAGAGGCTGTTAAGATATATCCACGTTCACATAGATGATCTAGGCAGTTGAGATTTTGTTTGCTTTATAGCAGTACCCCTCTTTCCTTTGCAGATCACTTGAAAAACTCCAGGCAGGCAGAGACGAGTGCTCGTAAGCTGAAGTGAAAGGGCTGACTCTCAGGGGCCACGATAGCATAATCGCTGTTGCAGTAACCGAAAATGAAACCATCTGCTACCGCCTGTTGTTCAAATGCAAAGGTTATGCCGGGGAGAGAGCGTGTTCGGGGCAGAACTCCCTGAGGTTTGGGAGGACACAGAAGCTGCGTCTCCATGAGGGCGTGTAGCACCGTTGCGGGCCCTTTGGAAAACAGATGACTTCAGTATATGGATTTGGCACGGGGACAGACAAAATGGCTGGGACACAGCTCATCAGGCACAAGCCGTGCCAGCAGTCAGCCTGGGATGGAAAAACCTCTCCAACCCCATAAAGGTTCGCGTGATCCCACCTGTCTCTTTCACCATACTTTAGATTCCTAACATACCACAGGCTAAGCAAGTAGGAGAGACAGAGCAAGGAAAAAGCGCTCCACCTCCTTCCCCATCAGGTACTGCGTATTGGCAGCCAACGAGCAGTACAACACGTAAGCCCAAAAAGAACCAAACCCTTGGAAGCGTCTCTAGCAGATGCTTCTGTAACACCGCGGTGCGGCAAACAGCTCATCTCCCTGATCTAAAATGAACACATATAATGAATTCAGTGTTGGGTCTTAAGTTACAAGAAACTTGCTATACTTTCCCACACACATACATTGACACCTCCCTATTTCACTCATCCCCACCAACAGCCCTTGAACTAGTTTCCATACATTTTTACGCATCATCTCTCAACTGCTGTTGGAAAAAAAGGTGGTAATGCAAAGGACAGAGCAATTATCACTATAATAAAGATTAAAAAAAGCCTCTCTTCAATCAGCTTTGTAAGTAATCCTGCTTGGAAGAAAGACTCCAGGTAATATAGGAACGGCAAGGTGACAGAAGGTACCTGCTATAACGAGCAGTAACAGATGTTACAGTTACATTTCCAAACTAATTCTGAATTGCTTCCAGCATGGTGATGCTTATTTGACATTATACAATAATAATGGTTTTTAATAGTAATCTTACGTAATTTTACTAATTTGAGTTTTAGCACAGTTGCTTGTTCACAGCCAGCAGGAGCTCCCAGGAGGTTTGTTCCACGACCCAGCGAGGACTTTGAGAAGAGGCTTCATGGGCAGCTCATAACAGTTCAACTTTTTAGGACTTTCACCTTCCTCAACGCTCGCATTCAGCTGAGTTACACAGCGACAGAGCAAGCTAGAATCACGACATGGCACCCTTCCTTACAATCACCTTCCTTGGCTAATTCAGTATTTCAGTATCTCATCTCCTGCCCCTTGTAACATAAAGCTATTCCAGAGCCTCAGCAGACCTCACCTGGCAGGACAAGATAAGAGCTGCAGGTCTTCCCTGGTGGTACTTTACAATTCAGTTCAGCCTTCTCGAAATCCACACTGGATACCCTGACACCATAGATTTGGGCATAAAAACTTCAAGTATCACCCCCTATAGCTAGCTGGTCAAACAAAGCAGTTGTGTTTGTTTATTTTTTTCTCCCCAAATACTTTCTCCATGAAGTCTGTATCACCATCCCTGCAACAAGGGCCATATCTCTTTGAGCAAGATTTTGCTGCTCAGCTTTAGCTTTGTAAATTGAGCCTTAGGTTCCTAAAAAACTCCCCAACTCCTATATTGCTAGAGGATCTAGCACACTAAAAAAATGCCATTTACCAGATCACCAACACTCACCTTCTGAAAAGAATACTCCCAACACCTTTCTCCAGAGTTACCCAGATTACTGGCATTTTTTGTTTGCTTTATTGATGCTCCCACTTTAATTTCCTCCTCTGCTCTCCACACCTCTACCAGGTGCATCAAAAGCAGTAAGCCCCACCTGCAAGCTTTTTACACAGATTAGGTGGTAGTGGCAATACTTCAAATTAAAGTCCTCTAGAGGTCTCCCATTCTGGAACTGGCTAAGTTAAAGCTTTACCTCAGGAAGTGTTTTACTGTGTTTTGTTTTATTTTTTTGAAGATGCTTGAGCACCCTGAATCAAAAAAGATTATTTTGGTAGTTACAGTCCAAGCACATAAAGCAGTTCGTGTTTAATTTAAAATCTAGGTTTGGATTTACTAGGATTATTTGTTGAAGTTTAATATTAAAATAAACCTAGGAATACTTTTTTAATAATTATCTGCTCTTGATTTATTAATGTGTAAACACCCTTCAAATATTTTAAAGAAAGACTGTAATAAACTTAATCTTGGATGGCGGAAACACAACAACTTAGGTTTAAAAAATGATCCATTATTTCAAAACAAACATCTGGCTCTTTCAAGAGTGGTTTGTTTTTTCCTCTGTTCATTTGAAAACAGATCTCGTGGTGCATATATTAAAATCATGATTTCTTTTAGCTGGGCTGCATTTTTTTTTTAAATAACGTTGCTTACGGTCTGTTCTCTGCTCCCATATGGGCTGTGTGCATTGTTTCTATGAGAACTGTGTCTTCCTATGGCTTTTCAAAGGCTTTACTGCTTGAGTATATGTTTAATCTTCCTGGAAAATGGCTGAAAATAAGAATAAAAGGCTGCTATTTTTCCTTCTAAAAACATGTTTGGAGTTACGTACTGCTACTTGGTACGGTGCACCAAGCAATTGTGAAATCTTTGTATTTAGCAGAGAGTTTTAGACAGTGAGGTAGAGTGGTTCTACAGAAGTAAGATACAATGTATGGATTTTAATAAGGCATGGAACGTGAAAGAAGAAGGTCTTGATCTGGTCTAGCCACTAGGTACTTTGCTGTTAATTGTAAAGACTGCAGGAGCTGATCATAAGGCTATGGTTTAAAATTAAACATCAAAAAATACAGAAAAATACCAGTTGGTAGTTAAAAAATTATTTCAAGAATGCTTTCCATTTTTTTCTTTCCCTGCAAATTAATTTTTTATTCGTTCCCCTGAAAATTAATTTTCAATATAACCTGGGTATTTCTGGGCTATCTGTAGTAAGTGAATGCTTGCCTCGTGTTGCTCATTACCAGGTTAGCAAGCGGCATCGTATATTGTAGGCATCCAGTCAGGAGCAGCAAAGTGCGGGAACACCAATTACAAATAATAAATAAGACTTTCAAAATGTATGAGTATTTTAAAAAATTTTATTTCATTTGTAATGAAACAACTGAGTTCTGCTCAAATTTATACAGTCAGTGAAATAATCCTATAAAATGATTTTTCTAGGATGTTACAAGGCACATAAATTACCAAATATAAACATAGAAAAGTAGCCAAAATAATGAACTAAGCCCCCATATGCCATCAGCTATTTTAGAGGTGTGTGAATGATTTACGAGAATGTGAATCACTCTACTGACAGGGTAATGAATATTTCACGTTTGGCATGACCAACGAAATTAAAAATAAGGGGAAGGAAAAGCTCAGGTTGTGTTTTGTGACTCGGGAGGGACCAGCATCTTCTGAAGCTCCTCCTTGGGTCAAAGGCCTGAGCATCTTTTACTGCTTCCCCCCACAGGTCGCAGTGCATCACCCCGCCAGCACCACCAGCCATCTCCATTGTCTGACTGGGGAAGGGGCAACCTCTCCACTTCCCCCAGCTTCTATATTGGGCAACTTTGTAAAAAGCAGGAAGGATCTACGTACAGCTTTTGCGCTGAGCATTGTCTCTAGCTTTACAGAGTAGAAGGTGCGGGGGTTCTTTTCTTGAGCTTTTTTTTTTTTTAAGTAATTGCTTTGGGAAGTCATTTGGCATGCAATAAGTCTTTATATTCTACTGGCTAAGAAAATCTTGCAACCCACAAAAATAGTCAATTTTTATTTCATTTCAAGAGGCATTACCAAATAATTTCCACAAATATTCATTTTCCACCTGCATATATATTTTTCAACTAGCCTAACAGTCAAGGATTCAATGTAATAAGATTTTCATACAAATATATTGTACTGTGTATTTTCTTCCATTAACAGGATCCTCTCCTTTATGTAACTCTAAGTATACATTCACATATTAAAGAGTAATAATTTGGCTAAAAATATATGTCTATTTCTTATCTGATTGTAGTAATTAGCCTATCAAGGGTAATTTGCTATAAAAGATACAGTACTAGAAATAAATAGTTCTACAATTCAAAGATCTTCAAAATGGGTTGCCATTTCCAGTCTGTCTCAAATTTTCCAAAGTCCTTTTAAAGCATAAACTAAATTTACTACAATTGAGAAAATCATTTGGACCTACGCGCGTAGAGTCCCAACCACATGAGAAGCTTATTTCACTTAATCTCCTTCTTGGTTTTGTAATGGGCAGAAACAACCAGATAATTGTCTGGATTCATGTCCCTGAGGGTTGGAGACTTGCTCTGGATCGGAGAAGTTTTCCCATCCACTCGGGAGATCTGCAACATTCGGCACGGGTCATGCTTCAGTAAGTAACCTGCAAAAGTCTCCCATCCTCCTCCAACGCGAACCATCACATGTTTGTTGTGCAGCATCTGAAATTACATATACAGGAAAAAAAACCCAAAACTCTTGAAAGGGAACCATTCGCTGGGAAGTCATTTTTTTTTTTTTTACTGGCAAAAGCTGTGCTTACTTTAATTAAAAGTCACAGGCATATGTTGGCAGTCTGCTTTATAATATAAGGAAAAGAAAAGAAAGAGTAGAATGGGTTTTATTTGAATTTACTAAGTAAATAAAAAAAAAACTGTAAGAAAATGAGATAGTATTTAAAACTAAAGATTTTCATATTTTATGTAAACAATGCTATATGTTTTTCTAGTCCCGTAGCACAAAGTGATCCTGTTCTTCATGTGTTTAGACTAGATATAAGGAAGCAGTTCTTTACAATGAAGGTGGTGAAACACTGGAACAGGTTGCCCAGAGAGGTGGTGGAGGCCCCATCCCTGGAAACATTCAAGGCCAGGTTGGACGGGGCTCTGAGCAGCCTGATCTAGTTAGTGGTGTCCCTGCTCCTGCGGGGGGGGTTGGACTAGATGACCTCTAGGGGTCCCTTCCAACCCAAAACCTTCTATGATTCTATGATTCTATGAATATGAATGTTTTTCAGATTAATTTTTTTGAAAATAAGTTAGTAAAGACACCATTTTATGTGTCTTGAAACTGGCTTTTCTTTATAGGATAGGGATCTATATAAAAGGAGTACTGAAGGGCAAACAACCAAAAAAATCATCTCCTCTATCTCCTGAAATATCAAAAAAGTTATTTAGGAAAATGAAGTGCCATTTATTTTAACAATTTAGGATTGCTAACACACATTCTAACTAGAACAGTCTAATGTTGTAATTAAATTAGTCTAATGAGGGACATCAGAAATAATGTGTCTGGGACTGCTTGGAGATACCTGAATTTATGCTGAATTGTGAAAGAAAATACAAGCAAACTCCCCAGGATCTTACTAATGGGAAGCTCAGTACTGCTTATGCCTGCTGTCTTTATTCCAGCCACAGTGGGGCTTGACCTACAAAGCAATTTTGGATTGAGAGGAATATCAAACTGCCAAATTAGTTACCTAGCTCTAATGTATATCCTCCAGATCCACACTCATCGGCTGCCTAAACTCAAATAAAATTTTTCACCGAATACCAAGGTAACTTCGCCCATGTCTGCGCCTGTGAGTTCAGCTGGCAATTTCACTGTCATTTCTCACCAGTTCTTCACACAGAACAGTCAAACAAATACCAGTGAGGTAGCATAAAGCAGCATATTCTATAGAAGCCACGTTAGAAATCATGCGTTGAGAAATGCTTTGATTAGTACATCTTGTGAAATGCTAACCATCATTTAGCCGTAGCACTAGAAATTAAAAATTGGCCCTGTAAAAGGCATGCTCGATGTTTAACGTACTCTGGGTAACGACATTTGGATTTATGGCCATGATGTGTACGTGGGCTCTTCATCTCCAAAAGGCCCTCGAGGGCTGGCAGTATTTGCGGTTGAGACTTAGTTGGCACATAAGCCTTTTGTAACATAGCACAATTCGGATTAGTACACGTAGCATAGACACAAAACAAGGGAAATTCTCAATCAAACAAAATCACAGATAATAAAAGGCAAAAGTGTAACTCTTAAAAAACCACCCCAACCAACAAACACCCCACTTCAGCCTAAAAATATGTGGTTTGACTTCAGTTACATGAGAAGGCAGATTCACCTGGAGTGAAGAGAGCACGGAAAGCTGTACAACTTTCTACAGTTTGAGAATCAGGGTAAGTTTATAAGGAATCAAACTCTTCGTTTGAACAAGCAGCTGCAGATGAAATATTGTCCAAAAGTTTTCACTGAGAACATTTTAATGCAAAGGAAATAATTGTTCCTGCTTTCAAATTTTGGTTTTTATGTGAAACACAGGGGGAAATAAACTCTGCTTTACAGATGCTGAAAACTGAAGTTATTTCTGATCCATCCTGATAAGAACATACTCAAGTACTCTTAGTTTAATTAACATCTCTCAGCTACTGAGACTGCCTGCGCTGCTGCTCCGGGTTGTAGGAGCATTGGCCTCTGCAATAGCTACGCACAAGGGAATTTTTTCCCTAGATTTGCATGAATATGAAAGCAGAATCAGACTCACAGCTTCACCAATCACACTTTTTCTCCTTCCTCTCCAGGTTTGCATTTTAGTTTCAAGACTTCATTTTGAACTGACAATGCTACGACCAGCCTTCAGCGTTACGAGATTTGAATCAAGTCTTTAGTCTGGACAATATGTCATGGAAACAGCAAATGGTTTTTACATCAAGTTTGAAAACTACAGTTCAAATGGTGACACAGCCTTGAGACAAAAGAGCCTACAGAATTCTATTTAGCAACTTTCTCCTCTTTGAATGTCTAAAAAGCATGTGAGAAATGCCCCAAAGACTTTAAAAGGTATTTTAAGCCCGACTTTGATCCACTACAACAGGTGATGCTGCTGTGGGAAGGAGTTAACTGTCACTGGATTCCAGCTTCCACATATTGTCACAGGGGGGTCACGCTCCAAGAACTGCTAGTATCTGGACTTTTGATTTAGAGTTAGGAATGGAAAGTTAGCAGAAAGTATCTTTGGTTCAACTCCCCTTAGGGACTACTTTGCAGACAAATAAAACGTACTGCTGGTATGTTATTTCCTGATGCTCAGGTTAAATGTACATCTTCTGTCTTTTCCCTCTTTTTTCTTTCTTTTTGTATTATTCTGCTATTATAAAATTCGTTGAATGCTTGCTTTCTATAGAGACTGGGTTTTCCAACATCCTAAAGATAGTCACTGCTCATGCTGCGCTGTGCCACAAAAGCACCGTTTTACTCCTACGGCCATATTTTGCTTTTAGTAACACCAGCACAAATCCAGAATAATTCTCCTAGCTTCAGAATTGCTCCAGGTTCACAGAAGTATAAAGGATTTCTCACAAAAAAAAAACCCAAAAAAGAATAACTTGCTCTACTTTCTGACTGAAAAAGCAGTTTCCTCCCCAACATACTTCAGTTGAAGATGAAACTTTGAGATTTTCTGAGGTTTTCCTTGGCATGAGATCTCTGAGAAAGGAAAAGTTGGACTCTACAATAATAAAGTTTATTAGTCAGTTATCAATGTAAATAAATTCATGACATCCATCTATTTTCACGCTGCTATCCAGCCAACTGAAACTGAGAAAGCCCCTTCTGTAAAATAAAATCCAACATATGTTTACGACTGCCGTAAATCTTCGTTATTTCTGTTGTGTTTGAAGCAGGGCTGTCACTAAAGCTGCTCCCTCTAGAATGTGTGTTTAAGTTAGAACAGCTGAGTCTATAGTGAAGCAACCAGATGAGAAACCAGATGACCAGACAAGAGCATCAGAGGAGGAATCATAGACGGGTTTGGTACGCATTACGGCTCTATCAAGAGAGAACATGAAAAATAATCAATAAAAGTTAGGTGAACTAAGCTGTAGTTGCAGATGACTTTGGCATCAAAGTGCAATAGAGTCTAAATGGTTCTGGTTTTCACATAAGTAAGTTGAGCGAGCTTTATGGCTTATTGAAGAGATATTAGGCTGTATGTAAAAATATTAAGCTCATGTAAATGAGCATAGTTTTACTAACTTGAAAACAATCTATTCTGTTTTATAGGAACTGAAAATCTGGCCCAATATTGTTATTTTTCAGATTATATTATAACTTTCTTAAAGGCTTTTTCAGGGACAGGAGGGGAAGCGGGGGAGGAATTACACGCTATGAATCTGACCCAAGTACTGCAAAAGCCAACGGAAAGAATCCTACTGACTCGAAAGGAAATTGGGCCGGGCTCTGGAAGCCAAACACAGCAACCTAAAGCAAATCATAGCCTGGAATTAGTTGGTGTGATTTTAGGCCAACTTCAGAAACAATGTAGGCTACAAACTGAGAGAATATTGACTATAAAATCCAAAGGTGTTAGGCAAAATAACGCAGTGCATCACACCAGTGGCTGTGCAAAGCAAATGTTGCACTCCAGAAGTGAAACGTTAATGAGATTGGGAAAGGAGATAATTGAATACATATCAATTACTGAATTTTACTGGATAAGAGGCACTTAGACTCATTGTCATCAGTAGATATAACCCTTGTTTCTCATACCTTAGCATTTAGGGGCCCTTCTTTGAGAGGTGTTCAGCTCATGAAATGGGCTTCTAGATCAATGTATTTTCACATTGACCCCAGAGACATCACAAGTCAACATTAAGGAAATCCCAGTGTTGTTAAGACTTACCCACCTTACCATATCAGACCACTGCCCATGGCAAGCTGGAGCATCTCACCACCATCATTGCAGGCTTCAAGGCCTGCGATAAGTACACACACACACAGGGTACACTCAGACATGGCACCTCTACTTTATGATTTTGCTGCAACCCCAGCTGATGCTACTTAGGAATCATTTTGCTCCAGCTTGTCTGTACCATTTACATCTATGATCTACCCTCCTGTCTACGCAAAAAAAAAAAAAAAAAAAAAAAAAGGCTTTCTCAAATCTCAGTAGTATTAGCTAACTTAGTAAAGTGTTAAAAACTCACTGTTCTTAGTAAAAAGAAGGTGAGAGAAGGGTACAAAACTTGGACCAGAAATGGGCCCCAGATCTGGGCTATCACCCTTCCCCAGCAAGCCTCTGAGCCTGTATCTAGAATATGGTATTGTCAAGTAATGACAAATTGTTCCACAGGGCAAAGCTCACGTGGACATTTTCACGGAGTAGGACATCTCCTCCACACTAGAGACCATGGTCTCCCTCAGCATCTTCCTAGCTGTGGCCTGAAGAACTGATGTTAGGAGAGAACTTGCAGCCTGTGGTTCGTGAGTGTGGCTGACAGAAGGTGAAGTCTTCTTGGAATTTGGTGCGCATATCTCTACGGAAGAGGAAAAAGTATAGCTTCGGCACTTGAGACACAACTGTTTCAGAGAACAAGGTTTGTGCCATCAAGTGTCAAAATATTCCTTCTCATGGCAAAACCTTTTAATGCTAAATCTCTAAAGCCAG